ATTTCGAAAACCTTGATATAGTACGTCAATATCGCTTTAAAACTGAAAACAAACATCACCACTCGACTCAGCGTGGTGAATTACTCCTGTCTTGACCATTTTCGAGGTGATTGAAGGTCAAGTGGCCGAAATCGGGCGTCTCAGGAAAACCCTTATAACTCATGAAGGGAACAAGCTAGAAATCTAGGCTTTGCGTAGATCCAAAGAGAACAATTTTCTCTATCGAATGGTATAATTACAAGTTAAAATTGAACGGGAAATATTTTCAAAATAGCGTTTTGAAAATGTCCACCAAGAACGCACCTGATTGGCCTATTGCTGAACAATAGAATTTGCCATATATTTATAGTCCCAAGATTTCTCTTTCAAATGGTGCAAACCGCAGGTCTCTATCTTGTTTCTATCAAAAGTTATTAAAAAAACCGTAAGGTATCTTGTATTTTGAAACGGATAGTAGAACAAATATATTTCAACTTTTGTGTATCAGTTTTTGTAAACAGCTGTACTTTTTTTAAACGATAATCATCTATACAAATTTTAGAAACTTCACTCAACAATTCAAATATTTTCTTCATTTTAGTTGTCAGTTCTGAATTCCTTACAATCTAATCAATTACGATTAAGTATCCATGACTGGAATCTTTTGTCAAAATTGACTTATTGTTATGATGAGAACAGTGGATTTTCGTTAGCTCAATGCTTTCTACAACAACACAATAATTTACATCCCAAAATGCGCTACAAATTGACACGACTCAGTGAACTTTTTCTATCATTCATTGGTCGAGCAGAAGTTTTTTTCGAAAATAATCCTCATTTTAATTCTTTATGTTCACATGATCGTTCTATTTTACTTCATAATACAATGAAATATGTAGGAGGTCTTGGTACATGTTTTATAATACGTCAAACTGGCTTATTAAATGATTTAACTATATTTAAATCTGCTGAAATTATTTATGGATCTGGTATATTAGCTAACACGATGCGTGTAATTAGTCAACTTAATTTTGATAGTACATTTTTCAAATTATTACTTGCATTAGTTGTCTTCTCTACATTTAATTATACATATTACACAAATGTCGCTCCGATCAATCTCAAAGATACTACAACAATCTTACATATTCAAAACATGTATGCTGAATTAGCATGGCGATATTTGATCTACAAATATGATGATGAACGAGCTGTTGTATATTTTTCTAATTTTATTAGATGCCTTTTTTCTTTCCATGATGTTGTCATTGAAGCATTTGAAATGAAACATTGCAAAGATATGGTTAAATCAGTTATAGAACAAACTAAAAAGACAATTGCACTAACAGAATGATTTATTTCTTTGGTTTTGTGTTGTTTCGTAACAAAAGTTTATGCTTGTTTTCAAATAAAAAAAGTAGACAAAACTCAATGTGAAAAGTAAAACATACTTTTTTTTTACAATTTGTTTCTTTTTATTCCTTTGTTAAGACCATTCGCCGTCGTCCCTCAAAAAAGTCAATTATGGTCAAAACAATGAAAACTTTCATTCGATTCCTTGCACAAAACTAGGATTATAAACAAAATTTTAGACTCTTTAAACTTTATCTGACGGAGCTATAGGTTTCGTTTTTTCTTTTCGAGCAAGATCTCATTCGAAAGAGATCATCAAGCTGAACAAAAATGTCTCTTTTGAGATGCCAAAAAAGTGGGATCTTCACAAGAAAAATGTAAATTTTCTAACAACCTCAGAGTTTTTCAGACTCAGTTTTTTGATCGCAAACCATTTTTCGAAGTTCTAGAGGTCACATAGAAAAATCTAGTACAGTGAATCTTGTAGCAAATTTTGTGCTTTATAAAATTCATATACAAAAAATTGAACAGAAAGTTTGATTTTAAATATAATTTAATGATTACATTTGCATTATAATAGATTTTTTAATCACAAAAAAATTTATTATAATCAGATTTTTTCCAGTTTTTTTTTTTTACATGAATTCTATATATTTAATAAATTTATAATACTGCTGATGCAAATGAGATTCAATAGGGATCGTTCTCTTCTCTAATAATTCATAATTCTTTTTTTTTCTTTCTGCAAAGAAAATACATTCTCCTTATACGTAGATAATTCTTTCACAATATGTACTCTCTAATAAACACTAACCAGCAATAATTGAACAGAAAAAGTTTAAAAAAAATTTTAACGAAGAGTTTTTTCAAAAGATTCGGCTCTTCTAATCGGTAGGGTATGCTAGTCAACAAATAACAGTAATATCTTCTGAATATGTATTCCACGAAGAATTGGTTGTTTTTTCTCAAGCAAACAATTGAAATAATTTTCTCAAGAAAATACGAAATGAAACAGATGAACATTGATAACAAGAAGTTGGATCTTACCACTATGGATTATGTCGAGTGTTGATAAAAACTTTTTGCTTTTTTTGTTCTATCATGCAGCCATTTCCGTTTTCTTTTCTTTTTCTCTCGATGATGTAACAATCGGAAAAATTTCCATTATTGACTACATTTTTATGGAAAAAGCACATGTATAATCAATTGAATAGATCATTGCAATCAGGATAACACCCATGAAGAAGCTACGACTTTTCTGTAGAAATATTTTAACATGATCCAGTAGTTTGACATATTAACTATCATACAACAGCCATCTTAGTCGAGTAAGTGTTATCTATCGATAATATCATGCCAAGTAAAAAGTGTAACGAGATCTAAAGATCGATATCATACACAAAAAGAGAATTACTTTTCGAACTGTATATATATGTATATATATTCAAAGTAGCAAGAAAATTAGAAGCAAGAATAATAGTTTATATTGACAAGAGTTGATAGTAAAAAGCACAAACTAATCGACTTCTTTCTACACTGTTTATCTTGACATAAGAAAATAAATAACTAAGTATGAAGTAAAATGCTCTAAAAACAAAGCTGACAAATCATGCGTAACAAAAAAAATAACTCATTCACTTTTGATTATAATAGAAAATGTTGGAACAAAAGAAAGCGTATTAATATATATAAATACTTTGACAGTAGCAGTGAAATATACTATCTTGATCATTTTACGAATGTTGTTATTATTCTTTTTTGTGAATATTTGAGTACGTCATCTTTACAGTTTTATTTATGAATGTGACTTTTATAGGTTTTACGAATTTCATTGCAACCAATTGCATTTATTTTATAAGAAATGATTCTTCCGCGTTCATTATCTGTTTTACACGTCGTTAGCGCAAAAAATGACATTATTTTCCTCTCAATTATTGTTTTATGTACTTTGATTTCATTTGCAAATAGTATGTTAATGCCTGCTGCATGGCATTATGCTTTGGGTTTCCATGGTGTGATAGCCGACACAGTGATGACTTCAGAAGAATCACGTGGTGGATGTCACAAAAACTATTGTTGGGCGAGATGTAAAACACAAGCCCTGTTTGTTTTCAGAAAATGGTGCTATACTAAAAAATCACACTTACAAAGCTATAAATATGTTTCCTACCGTAAAGACAATGAATTTTCACTCGAGTAGAAATGTGCCGGTCCTTGTTGGGTGTTTTGATAATAGAGTATTTTTATACAAGTTCGCGTGAAATTACTCAATTGATATTCCTTTGGCAATTCGTTGGCATCTGAAAAAACTCCTTAATTTCTGTCTGTATACTAGGCAACACTGTTCGTATTAATGTTTACTTTTAAAAAAATCCTTTTTGTAGGTGTCTTCATATGTCCAATAAATGTCATTGAGTTTTCTGAAATAAAATCGTTCAATTTACAACTTATAATAAAAATGTTGTATTTGTATAACACTAACATCAACTAATAGTAATCGTGAGGGTTTTGTATTACTATCAACGAAAAACATTTAATTTGAAATGATCCATTTAGAAAATTTTTTTTTGACAAAACTCTTCGTACGTTTCATTTTTTATTTAGTTCAAGTTTCTCATCTATTGAATCAAAATCTTTTGCCGAATAAATACTGATCGAACAATTTGTTTCAATTCTAATCTCGTAGTTTTGACAATTTGTCAATGTTTCTCTCAGCGATGGTACATGTCATCGAGATAGAAGGTCGTTGAATGATAGTTCGAAAAACACAACATTCCTTTCCCATTGGTTAATTTAGGCACATAACAAGGATCTCACTCATTGTTAGAAGCGATGAATAACACTGTATCAATTCTACTCAATTTGTTAATCAGTTAAATGGTTCAATCTAACATTTCTTTGTTTCTGTTTACCTTTTTTTTTGAGACCAAACTTCGTATCCACAACCGGTCTCGATCGATCGAACTATCATCAATACGGCAAATAGCAATATTTTTCATGATTTAGAATTGATCGAATGATAAAGAGATGCTTCAAATCGAAGTGACGGTCGAAATTATGTTAAAGAATAATATCTATACATGTGAACAATACTCATGAATTAAAAAACTTCAAGTGGCTAACAAACAAACAAGATACATCGATGCATTAGGCATGTTTTTTGCTACAATGATGTTTATATATATTTTTGCCAGCATCACGAGTCAGATGTCTCGTTCTCTATCCTGTGCTAACGGAAATTATTCCCAACGAAGAGACAAGTTTGTTTACATCGATGTATGTAAATTCTATGGCTCTTGCCATAGCCGAGGAAAATACTCGATTTATGTTGATTGCTATACGTGACGCATACATTATTTTTTATTTCTACGTTCAAGTTGCTTCCTTATTTAAGAGAACAAAAAGTCATTGATCTATAATTAAAATGAGTTCGTTTTATGATGTGCTTTTCATCTATTTTAATATCAAACATCATTTTCTTTTTGATAATGTTCAATTATATTTACTCGGTGATATAATTAATTCAATCATTGAATGTAGTCGTAAAAAGTAAACTAATAAAGATCCAAATGGTTAGTACTTGAAAATCAGGTAATTAGAACAAAAACGATTCGAAACTCGAATTTGACCACATCTACAATAATCAGAAACATGATAAGACATTTTTCAATGCTAGATCTACCAATAGAGCAATTACTATTGAAACTTTTGTTAATCGACTATTTTAATCTGTAAAACTGATTCGACGATCCTAGAATAGGATGCAGCTATGTATGAGTGAAGAGGACATGGAAACCCTTCGTATTCCCTACTCAAGTACAAGTTAACGAGCTCTATCTAATGTTATAATTAGGTTTTCAATAGCTTAAAACGTGTCTCCAAAAATTGTAGAATACTGGTATTTTACTATAAAAGTCTATACATGAGAATATGTTCGTGCAATATTTCGTGTGACAGCTTGCCACAAAGCTCTTTCTCGTGAAACACGATTGCTAATGAATACTAAAATATATAGCAAGAAAAATGACGTTTCTACACTACCACATAGATCAGGATAGGCACACTTTTATAGCTTTTTCAGACCATGAGATATTAAACCTCGAAGTTTAGGTTTTTTTGGGCAATAAAGTTTAAAATTGTTGTATCTTAGCCTTCAAGAGTTTTAAGGAATTGTTGACTTTAAATCGATTTGAAGCCTCAAAACGTCTTTTTGTTTCTTAGACTGAATAGTCTAGAGTCTAGAAATTTAAATTAAAGACAAAAAAAATTGGTCTATGCGCGTGTCTGCCTGTAATATGTTTCCAAAACCAGTGTCTATCTCGTGCTACCGTATGGTATTTTGGTGTTTTGATCTTATTCATAGACTGTCAAACATTTCGACTTACCTCTCTCGCAGCCACAACGTGGATTTACATATACGCTACAGCACAGATTTCTTTTTCCTTGTTATCCTCCCTTTAATAGGTGAAGAAGTAGCACGTATGAATCCGGCTATGAACATATATACTAGGATTAATTTCAATGATTTTTCAGTCTAGGAGCAATTCAATCGGAATCCGATGAACATTTCTTGTAGGAACTTTTGCCTTTTAATCTAATAAAACTCTTTTTCAACTAATTTCATCCGTGGTCTCCTGAAGTGTTTTTATGATGTTTGACTCAGTTTTTTGTGCTGATTCCGAATATTAGAAGTAAGGTTCATCGGCTGCCGATTTTGCTCGATCCTAGATTGAAAATGTGCAGAACATTATCATAAGAAATTTTCTCGAGAGTTGAATGTGATTATCACCTTCTCTTATTCGTTGCATTGTTCCTCGCAAAGATGCAGGCTGCTTTTTTTGTCAAAAATGTAGCTTTTGAATAAAACATATGGAATAATAGTCTCACACATCACCAACGATTATAGATTTCATGAATCTAAACTAGTCTATTATTGGAGAGTTATTGAACTGTTAAAGTTATTTGCTCCGAAGTAATTATAGTGGTACGAAAACCTTTCTTGTGACTCCGAGCCTTAGGTGAACTTTCACATTATTAATCTACTTTTGCAGTGTGAAATTCCTTCTTTTTTTTGTGTGTCCTGCTCAATACAAAACTGAAGTTTCATTAACTTGTCTCTCTTATGGCTTTCCATTATTTTGCTGATTCAAACATTGGTGTCACAGATAAAGACACTGTGAACTTTTGTTTTAATTTAAGTTTCCAGATCCTAAACTTTCCAGTGTAAGGAACATGCATTTTGCTCGTAAATAAAATCCTGACAAGGAAGTTTGTCACAGACATTGAAAACCTCTATCTTTTGTTCGGGAACTTTCTTCAAAATGAAAATTCTGTTTCGCTTAGTATACGCAGAATTTGACGGACTATCTTACTATAGTAACACTTTTCCTATTATAATGGGATTTATATCCGAAACCACAGATAAAGTTTTAAAAAAATATTTTTTAGTAGGAAAATTCTTTTATCTCTAAGAATACTTATTCTATCGTCGAAAAAAATTAAGAATATGTACAAGTTTTGTTACTATATCGAACTGTATGAGGATTACGTCGAAACCTTTTAATTCACAAATTACCAAAAGTTGTCTAAAAAGACATACTTCTTGTAAACACCATAATTCTGTTAAAAGAAGTCAGGTCGCCAAGAAAATATGAGATTGTAGGCAATTTTACACGCTCTGAAAAACGTTCGTTCTTCGCATTTCGATCATACATCAAACGCAATTCAGACCTGTTTTCAGTGCAAAAATGATTTACATGGGTAGCAAATGTTTTTCTTATGATTCTTCCAAATGCTAAACGAGTGATATCTACTTAATTAGTTATCCAAAAATAGAACTGGAGGAAAGAAAGAGATGACAGTTTACTATTATTATGTGCTTCTAGAAAAGGAAGGGAAGAACTAGTCGTCAACTTCTTTTCTTCTTTCTTTCTACCATACATAAGTCATAAATATCTATTAAGTAGCAACAACAACTGTACATCTGTACGTAGATATTGTTTTTTCTCTTCGTCTTCCGATACTATTCGTATCCTCCATAGCTAAGGTCACACAAGAGAAGAATTTATTTTATTACCCATTACGATAACATGGCTTCTGCTAACAAAGACAAAACAATGGAATACGACAAAAAAATATATAAAAAACCTGAAAAACCAAAAAATCATTTAGCTGGACGTGTTAATAAATTTCAGGAAAAAGTAAATCAAACACAAGCACCATCACCACCACAAATAACCTCTATACATACGTAAATGTTACAAGTTGACCTTTTTCAACTTCTGAAATAATCAAGTTGTTTTTTCTACTTCTAGTCAACAGGAACCTGATTATCGTGTGCTGGAAGAAATTAAACATGTCCATAAATTGATTAAAGATAATGGACAACAAGGTGATTATGCAATACAAATTAAATTTGGTGAATTAATACCGGTGAGTGTAGAGAATAATAGTTGAGAGAACAAAACAGGTCTATTTATATTTGCCATGGCTGGCGAATTGTTAACGAGCTATGAAATGTCAAGAGTAGGTGTATGATAGATTCCCAGTTAGGAGAATTAGTCAGTCAGCCAACCGATTTTTTTTAGTTATTAACCATGCAATCTGATAGTCTTACCCATCCATTAACTATTAATTGATTACTCATTGATTCTCAATGACTATTGATGAGTAACTAGGAATTGAATCAGAATTGTCACACACTTAGTCAGATTCTTTTGCATGTAATAATATCTCAAAATACATGTTGCATATAAGTCTCGATATTGACAGCTGTATTTACTTTTCTTTCTAGATTTATGGAGCTGGTCAAATCGATAAGTTATCAGAAATCTTAGAAGTTGCACGTAAACATGGTTATATTAATTACACTGCTAATGATTTATTACGACAAGATCGGGATGAAGATATTTTTATTAAATTGATTAAAACACCATTTTGATTGCTAATTATCATTTCACATTTTTCAGTGACAAATAAACAATTTTTAAGCTTTATTTATTTTTATTCATGCTTTATACTTCTAGTTTTTCTAATAGCATTTTAATCACAATTAAAAGCTCTGAGCAATTTTAAAACGGTACGTTGAAGTTTCTCATACTTTGAAAAATGTTTTCTACTAGCTTAGGTCTTGGTACACTTTATTTGTAACACGTTGTGCTGCGTCATAGTGGAAAGAATAAAACAATTAGAGATCATTTTGCTTTGTTGACATGTACATTGATTTTACATTTCAGCAGCACTCCACACGTTTATAAGATCATCAATTGCAATCATCTTACAAGATCTTTCATCTTTATAAGCTGCATTTATTAGTTTTATCTGTTCAAATGCTAAATTGTTCATTATGTTTTAATATAATATGGTATCACATTTTTTGATGGAGAATTGCTGAATGTACGGCATTTTTTTTTGTTCTACATAAATTTTGAGGACGTTGTCAATACAGACGTTAGTCGAATTTAGATCAAATATCAAGTGCGAATTTATAACAATCTAGTAGCACATTTTTCTATATCTGTTGAATATGTTGTTGTTTAAAGTTAATTGTCATTGAACTAGGGTGTGGGTGTGGGTGTGGATGTGTGGGTGTGGGTTAGAGACCTGCGGAGTCAAACTTTTTTGACTCCGACTCCAACTCCGACTCCGAAATTTTTTTATGAATAACTCCGACTCCGACTCCGAAAAACTCCGAAAATTTTTCCTATTGTAAATCAGCAGCAGCTCACATGTATGGAGATATTATGTAATTTAAAGTTAGTTTACCATCACAA